TTTTTTAAAAAGATTTTATTTATTTATTTGACAGCGAGAGCAGGAACACACACAGGAGGAGTGGGAGAGGGAGAAGCAGGCTTCCTGCTGAGCAAGGAGCCTGATGCGGGACTCAATCCCAGGACCCTGGGATCATGACCTGAGCCAAAGGTGGACGCTTAACTGACTGAGCCACCCAGGCATCCGTATTTGTAACATCATTATTTGAAATATCCCTAAATTGGAAATAACCCAAAGTGGATCAAGGGACAGGTGGATGAATTGTGGCATATATTTTTTGTGGCATACTCTTTAGTAAAAGGAAGGAGCACAGATGCAACTTGGATGAACGTCACAAATATAATGTCTAATGAAAGAAGCCAGACATAAAAGAATGCATGCTGTTTGATACTCTTTAAAATTCGAAAACAGGCAGAACACTCTAAAGTGTCAGGATAGTGGTTGCAGTTGGGAGGCATGGAGTGAGTGATTTGGAAAAGAGACAAGGAATATGTCTGAGATGCTGGATTTGGATATATTACTATTTCTCAACCTGAATGATGGTTATAAGGGGCTGTTCATTTCTTAATTCCTCATTGAGATTTTTATTCATGATTGCCTCCCTTAGTTGTAAGTATGCTGTAATTTAATAAAAGAAGTTCGAGAAATGGATCTAAGCATTCTACTTCATAAGGTTGAGCAAGAAATACAGAAGTAGAAGAAAATGTACTGAATGAATAAAAATAAAAATAATGATGGAAAAAAGTAATAATAAGAAAAGGTGAAAAGATGCATGATATATTTGTATACTAGTCTTTGTGGTTAACTGTGAGATAATATGGAAAGCCTTCAGTTTCAACATAAAAAAAAAAACCTGGGACACCTGGGTTTCTCAGTCGGTTAAGCCTCTGCCTTCAGCTCAGGTCATGATCCAGGGGTCCTGGGATTAAGTCCCGAATTGGGCTCCTTGCTCGCAGGGAGCCCCCTTCTCTCTCTGCCTGCCACCCCTCCTGCTTGTGCTCTCTTTCTCTTTGACAAATAAATAAATAATATCTTTTTTAAAAAACAAAAAACCCAGTGACATGATTCAGAAGCTGTTGGAGTGGCTAACATAAGTGTATTTTGAGTTTTTGTAAAATTATGGTATTTCAAGTTTGGATGTCTTTGGGTCAAACTTTGGACACTTTTTAAGTGAGGTATAAATTATCACAGTCCTCGGGGCGCCTGGGTGGCTCAGTTGGTTGAGCGACTGCCTTCGGCTCAGGTCATGATCCTGGAGTCCCGGGATCGAGTCCCGCATCGGGCTCCCTGCTCGGCAGGGGGTCTGCTTTTCCCTCTGCCCTCTTCCCTTTTGTGCTCTCTGTCTCTCATTCTCTCTCTCTCAAATAAATAAATAAAATCTTTAAAAAAAAAAAATTATCACAGTCCTCTGAAGTGATTATTTCCCTATTCTGTCTTTATCCTACCTTTAACTAGCCTTATTTCTGTATCAGGAATATATTTGTATATGTGCAGTACTTCTTATACTTTAATGGGATTGATTCTTTAACTATACTGCTCATCACCAACTGATAATTATCTGTTTATTACCGGCATTGCCCGATTGAACTGTGAGATCCCTAAGAACTGTTCTCTCCTCTTTGCCCAGTACCTGACCTGGCAGAAGGAAGGCCCTTAGTAAATATTTGCTGACTGAATGAAGGAGTAAGAGACAGAAGGAGGCAAAGGTTCTAAATCCAACCAAGTTCCAGCAGGGGGTGCTCAGAAGGACTTCTCATTTCATAAAATCTTTTGTATTTCTCATTTCTATTATGCCTAGCAGAGGATGTGGACTGAATTCTGGTCATCTGAGGAATAACAACTACCACAGGAGATAAGGCTTTTGCCATACCAACATGTGTCTGCCTGGCTTACCTTTCCTAACGGGTGATTTGAGACAGTTATTAATACTGTGTGAACCTACATTTTCTCAGTTATTAAATGACAGTTATTAATACCCAATTTGGAGGGTTGTTAGGGCAACTAAAGGAGTTTATATTTGTAGAGCTACTAACAGTGCTCAGTAAATAGAGGTTGGTATTAATATTTGCATGGTAGGATATTCAACAGTTTTTAATGGCTGTCACATGTTTTATCTGCACAGAGATGGCTAAAGAGTGATGTTTGATGATTGAGAAAAAATGTCTATTGCTTAATGATGGATATTGTGAACTGGTTACCCAGACACTCCAGTAGTCAAAGAGAAATTGAGATCAACCTCTTAATTTAAACTCAAAAGCTTCTCTGAAGTGGTCTTCTGAGCAAGAAATGGAATATTTTGGAAATTCTCACTATCAGATTCACAAGATGGCAGCCCTTGATGTGAATCAGGTGTGTGGTGAGTCCTTGTTGATGCTTCTTTTCATATAGTTCCCTCACAAATGGCAGATCCAGTGCTCAGTGCTCAGGGGCTGAGTGATCATGCAGTAGACCATATAAGAGCAACTGAAATGAGCAGAGCATGTACAAGTCAGGTTCCTGGGATTTGGGAGGCAGGAAGGTGTGTGTGCTTTTTGAGGGGGTAACATGTTCATGAATTCTGTTGTGTCAAGTAGCTCTGCTCTCTGTACTGTAATTTGTGTAACTCTAAATTGGAATATTTAACCTGTTCCTCATGGGTAGCAAGATCCAGAAAACCATTTTCTTGCTACAGGTAACTCAGAGCACTTTGCCAGTTTATGGAATTAGTGTGTTTATGGTATGTTCTGTGCATGGTGTGGAATAGCTTATAGGCATGTGATTATTGGATTGGCTTCAGAGTTCATGGCATTCTTCTCTCTGAGGTCATCTTTCTTGGGACCCTTACTGTCTTCATGAGGGGAAAATTGAGGAGGCAAGGATGGTGGCTGGGTTACTGATGAATTCTTCTCAGGTAAGTGGAAAGTTGACCTTTCTGCAGAATGTCAGGCTTATTTGTTGGGTAGTCATTTCTCCTTGTAATGTCCCCAGGCTTCTTATAGCAATTAATGACTCTGCTTAGGAATGAGTCTCAGGTCTATTTCTCCAGGACTCATGCCATCTCAGAGTATATAGGGATTACACTAATCCTCAAGATTATATGATTCTTTTATCTCAATATTAATTAATTCTTTCTGATCCTCAGTCATGCTTGTTGGCTTATCGTTTTGTTGAGTGGTATGATAGATACCGAGGAATGATATGAAGGTATCTAATCTCATGGAATGTGTGTGTTACTGTGGAAATAATTCACCTGTTAGAAGATTTTACAGTGTTTGCATTGTGTTCAGTGCTAACTACAGCCTATAAATAGAGGAGGAATAAAGCACGAATAGCCCACAGTCAAGTTGTGATAACATAAATGTAGTCACGTGTCAGTAATGCTGGTAAGTCCATGTGACTGGCTGTGATCACCAGGCAGCATCTGTAGCTAGAGAGGAGAAGAGGTCTGGGCCCAGGAGTACTATAGGCTTCTGGTCTACCTTCCTCAGTCCCTCATGCATCTTCCTGAGAACCTCAAAGAAGATGGTGGTTAACTGAAGCCAGCATGTATTTGATGGTTTAGCACTTAGTGACCTTCGAGGATGTGGCTGTGAACTTTACCCAGGAGGAGTGGACTTTGTTGGATCAAACACAGAGAGATCTCTACAGAGATGTGATGCTGGAGAACTACCAGAATCTCATTATACTAGGTAAGGCTGAAATCATTTCTTCATGAATGTTATGAATGTTATGAAATGAATGTTTCTTAAGTATCTTTGCTGTCAAATGGGAATAGTGTGGTAAACAAGACAGACATAATCCCTGGCCTCAGGGGCCTTACTATCTAGAGGATTCCCTGTGAAAATGAAGATCTGTCTAAATAAATGACTTTATTCCTTTTAGGGACTGAAAACCTTAGGATTCTAAATGTGTGTAGAGGCTGGACATGATTTTCAGGTCTTAGAGCTCTCTAGTCATTTGAGGACACAGAAAGAATGTACTTATATTTTTGTTCCTTTTAGAATAGTTTTATTGCATCGATTTAAAATTTCGTGTGATTATTTTGCTGTTTGTAAAGTGAGACTTCACTGTCTACAGAAACCCTGAAGCTAAAGTGTTGGTTCCTATCCAAAGAGCCGCGTTTCATGTCTTGCAAGGTCCACTTCATATATTTTTCCTGTAAGCAGGATACGAATCATGCAAACCTGATCTCAACTCTTCAATGGGAGGAGCAGGAGAGCTGAGGACAGGAGGGAGAGGAATTCTGCAGGGTAAGTTCATGCCTGGGAAAGGTGCCGTACATTTGGAAATGCCACTTGGCAGACTTTCAAAGGTATACTCTTTTTCTGAGAAGGCTGAAGTCATTCGGTTTCTGAGTTTGCTTAGGAACCTTCAGCTCTCTTTACCTTTAAATTTCCATTGATCTCAGCCTTTCCTGTTCTCCCAGAAAGATCTGTCTGACTCCATTGAAAATTTCATTACTGGCGGATAGCTCATTTTACAGTACTTTCTATCTTGTTTTCCTGATTCTATCAGTGTCTTTTTGTTTATGGTCAGCCTTAGTTTTCCAGAGTATTAAGCTTTGTACATTGCCTACAATTTCGACACCATACCCTTTATCATTGCCACACTCCTAACAAGCCAAACTCTGTGTAGTCCAATTTGCCTTTTGTTTCAACCTTTTATCTTGTTTCATGCATATTTAGACATAAGTATGTGCCATATGTTTTTTTTTAGAGATAAAATACACAAAAATTAACCGTTTTAGTGGGTATGATTCATTGGTATTGAGTACATTCAGTGTTGTGCAACCATCACCTCTTTTTAGTTCCAAAATATTTTCATACTTGAAAAGGAAACCCTGTAACCATTAAGCAGTCAGCCTCCCTACCACTAATCTACTTTCTAATCTACAGGTTTGCCTATTCTGTACATATCAAATAGAATCATACAAAATTCAGTTTCATGACTATAACTTACTACCTAGAAATAGAATTGTGAGGGCATATGGTCATTTTATGTTTAACTTGTTAAGGATTACCAAACTATTTTACACAGAAGCTGTACCATATTATATTCCCTCTAGCAGTCTAGAAGTTACTCCACATCCTTGCCATCACTTCTTCCTTCCTCCCTCCCCCCTTTCTTTTTTTTTTTTTCTTTTTTCTTTTTAATAGTAACATCCTAGCAGGTATGAAGTGGTATTTTACTGTGGTTTTGATTTGCATTTCCCTAAAACAAATGATGTTGGACATCTTTTGTGTGCTTGTTGACCATTTCCATGTCTTTGGAGAAATGCTGATTCAAGTTCTTTGCCCATTTTTTACATTGGGTTGTTTGTTTTGTTGCTGTTGAAGCATGGACGTTCTTTCTGTACTCTAATAGTGGACCCGTATCACATGGATGATTTGCAAATATTTTCTCCCATTTTTGGGGTTATCCTTTTGCTTTTTTGATAGTGTTCTTTGATGTACATTTTTAATTGCAGTGGGGTCCAGTTTATCTTTGTTTTCTTTGGTGCTTTTGATGTCATATCTAAGAATAGATAGATTGGACACTGTCAAATCCAATGTTCTGAAGGCTTACACCCTTGTTTTCTTCTAAGAGTTTTTATAGGTTTAGCCTTTCCACTGGGTTTTTGATCCGTTTTGAGTGAATTTGTGTATGTGGTGTGAAGTAGAGGTCCCATTTGATTCTTCTGCATAGAAATATCCAGTTATCCTAGCACTGTGTGTTGAAGAGACCGTTCTTTCCCCCATTGGATGGTCATGGCATGCTTGTTGAGAATATATTGATTCTAGATGTATGGGTTTTTTTTCTGGATTCTCTCTTCTATTCATGTACATGTCTATCCTTTTGCCTGTACCACACATTTCTGATATTGTACTTTTTGGCTCCAGAACTTTTTTAAAAAGATTTTATTTATTTATTTGACAGAGAGAGCAAAAGCACGGGGAGTGGCAGGGGGAGAGGGAGAAGCAGGCTCCCCGCTGAGCAGGGAGCCTGATGCGGGGCTTGATCCTAGGACCCTGGGATCATGACCTGGGCCACCCAGCTGCCCCTTGGCTCCAGAATTTATTTGATTCTTTTTTGTAATTTCTGTCTCTTATTTGACAATCTCTTAAGTGAAACATAATTCTTCTAGTTTCCTTTAATTCTTTGTCTGTGGTTTCTGTTAGCTTTTTGGGTGTGTTGAAACAGATTGATTTAAACTTATTAGTAAGTCCAATGCTTTGGCCTTCAGGAACAATTTGTATTAATTTCTTTATTGTTCCTTTGCATACCTCATATGTTTTAGTTGGAAATGTAAATTTTAGATACCATAATGTGGCAATTTGAAAATCTGCTTCACCCCATCCCTGGGTTTGTTGTTGCTGCTTGTTGTGTATTGTTGGTGTTTGTTTAGTGGCTTTTATAAATTGTTTTTGTATATTCTGCCTTCTTTTTAGTGCACTCCCTGAAATCTGTGTTCTATTAGTTTAGTGGTCACCTTAGAGTGACAGAAATTCCTTAAATACTGGAGCCAAGAAAAGAAAACTAAAATATTCTTTTAGTTTTTGTTGATTGGCTGTGTGTTGGGCCACTCCTTCGGTGTTTAGCTAGACTATCTACAACTCTTCCTTAGCCTTCCATTCCTGGCTGAAGGTCAGCCAGAGGTGAAAGTTTTGAGTCCTCTCCGGCCTTTCTCAGCATGCATCCAGCTTGTGGACTTCTTGATTCCCTGGTAAACACTCGAGCTTTTATTTACGCACATATCAGCATTCCCAGTCTGTTCCTTCTAAGGCTTTTCAGGCTGTCTTTCGTTTGTCCCAAAGGCTTTTCCTTTCCTTGGACTGCTGTGGGCAACACTTTGCCTTTAGACACTTTCATCAGTAGTTGTCTGAGATGCTGCCTTGCTCCTGGGAACTCTCTGAGTTGGGTGAGATAAAGGCACATGCTTGCAGCGGTGATACTCGAGGAAGCTGCCAGACAGATGGAAACACAATGGCAGTTCTTCAGCAAAGTCCATAGTGCTCCTTTCAGCACTTGTAACTTGCTCAGGGATGCATCCTGTTGTCTACATGGCTGCCGGTGATCTGGAGAGGGGGGATGGTAGGTGGGTAATTAAAATGCCTCAGCACTCTCTTGGTGAACTATAGTTGCTTCTTTCTTCCATAAGTGTTCCCTTGGTGGTTGTAAGTTTTTGACTAGGTTCTAAAGTTCTGTAATAGTTGATTTTGATAGTTTTTGTAAGCTTGTTAGTTGTTTTCTGATGGGAAGGAGTCCTGGAGTTCCCTACTTTACCATATTTTGTGGTGTCATTCTCTGTGCCATATGCTTTTAAACAATTTTATCCCAGGATTTTTCTCTAAAACTAAATTTTTCCACTTTTTTTCAGAATTGGATTTGCAGCTCAAAACCAAAGGTTCCACATCCCTTCAAGATATTTCTTCGGAAAAAACATCAAATGGAATACAATTGGTAAGATCTCCAAAAGTAATTCCTTTCTTCCACACCTGGACCAGAAGTACAAAATCCATGTGAATTATATGAAATAAATGTCACTTACCCAAAGAAAGCACAATCTGTGAAGAGATTCTTTGAATATCAAGAATTTGAGGAGCACTCTAAACCTACTTCAAACCCGTTTCTCCTCAGAGATCCACATAAATATAACTCAGATGTCCAGTTTTTGATGCACTGGGATTTAGTCAGAATAATTTAGGTTTTAAATGATTTAGTATGAATAATTACCAGAAGATACTCTGTGAAAGTAGAATATAATTCAGGGCCCTAGCCTCAGAGTCTGTTCAACTTAAAACAACTCAAAAACAGGGCAGGAATTCTGTACACTTAAATGGAAATGGAAAAAACACTTCAATTATGATGATGTTTCCAGTGCATAAAAGTTGTGATGAGGGAGAAATTCTGTTATAGTGCATGTGGAAAAGTCTTTAGTTATCACTTAAACCTTAATCAACAGCAGAGAAGCAATGCTGGAGGGAAGCGATATGGCTCTCACCTGTATGGAAGAGCATTTAGTGGGCACTTATTTATGACTCACAGTAGACAGAAAACTTCTAAGGGTAATCAGAAGGGGAAAGCCTTTAAAAAGAACTTTATTTGTACTTTGCTCAAGGAAATCCCTGTTGGGGAGAAAACTTCTGAGAGTGTTCAACATGATAAAGCCTTTTGTCAGCTTTCAAATCTTACTGGGCACAAGAAAACTCAGACACAAGGGAAAGTATGTGAATGCAAAGACTGTCAGAGAACTTCTGTTGATCAGTCATCCCTTAAGATACATATGAGACACCACACTGGAGAAAAACCATATGAATGTAAAGAATGTGGGAAAGCCTTCCCTCATTCCTCATACCTTACAGATCATAGACGAATTCACAGTGGAAAAAAGCCCTATGTATGCATGGAATGTGGGAAAGCCTTTACTCGATCTACAGGACTTATTTTACACATGCGAATTCACACTGGAGAAAAACCATATGAATGTAAGGAATGTGGAAAAGCTTTTATTCACTCTTCATACCTTACAAAACATGTAAGAATTCACAGTGGAGAAAAGCCATATTTATGTAAGGAATGTGGGAAAACGTTCACTCGTTCCTCAGGACTTGTCTTACACGTGCGAACACACACTGGAGAGAAACCCTATGTATGTAAGGAATGTGGGAAAACGTTCACTCGTTCCTCAGGACTTGTCTTACACGTGCGAACACACACTGGAGAGAAACCCTATGTATGTAAGGAATGTGGGAAAGCCTTTAATAATTCTTCAATGCTCAATCAGCATGTAAGGACACACACTGGAGAGAAGCCATATGAATGCAAGCAATGTGGGAAAGCTTTCACTCAGTCTTCAGGCCTTACCACACATTTAAGAACTCACACTGGAGAGAAGGCCTATGCGTGTAAAGAATGTGGGAAAGCTTTTGCTCGTTCTACAAATCTTAATATGCACATGCGAACGCATACTGGAGAAAAGCCCTACAAATGTAAAGAATGTGAGAAAGCCTTTAGATACTCCACATGCCTTAATATTCACATGCGAACTCACACTGGAGAGAAACCATATGAATGTAAGGAATGTGGGAAAACCTTCACTCAGTCTTCGGCACTTGCTAAACATTTAAGAACTAAGGCATGTGAAAAAAACCTGTAAATGTTCTTCAGACCTTAGTATTCACATCTAAACTCATCTGGATAAAGTACCTTATGAAAGTAAAGAATGTGTGAGAAATCTTTACTCATTTTTCGTCCTTATATGATAGGAACTTTCTGGGGCAGAATTCCCATTCATATAAGGTATATGGGAGGGCAGTAGTTGTTCCTACTTTACAAAATGTGTAAGAACTCACACTTGAGAGAACCTTCCAGTTATAAGGTATGTGGGAGAGCCTTTTTGTTACTGCTCTAAACATTAATTTTACATATCTAAAATTACTGTGAAAGTCAGGGGTGCCTGGCTCAGTTGGTAGAGCAGGTGACTCTGATCTCAGGGTTGTGAGTTCGAGCCCCACTTTGGGCATAGAGATTACTTACAGATAAATAAGAAACTACTGTAAAAGTGATGTGAAGGTAAGAATGAGATACAGCCTTAAAATACGACCACATGCTTTGATAGCACGTGATAACTCATACTAGGGATAGATCATTTGTATGTAAGGAATGTGGTGAAACCTTCGTGCCAAGGCCTTAATATCCACATGAGACTTCATACTGGTATAAAACCCTACAAATGTCAAGGATCCAGGAAGACCTACAGTTGTTTCTTATATCTTTTAAGAACTCAACATTTAAAAAAACAGTGGAGAGATTTCTGTGGGAAAGCTTCGGGAAAGCTTTTAGAAATTCTTGATTGCTTCATATGCAAGGAGACTCATGAGTGTAAGAAATGTTGAAAATTGTTCAAGTGTTAATGGGTAAGTCACAACACGCAGTGAAGAGAACCTTATGATGGTAAGATATGTGGGAAAACAGCCCCGTATGTTAACATTCTTTGGTAATCTCACAGAGGCAGAAAATGTTACGAATATTAGAAATAATGGGTATGCCTTTATGTGTGTATGTGTGTATGTGTTTATTTTTTGGCTTTTGACCTTTAGTAAAAATAATCCACACTGGAGAGAAATAGTGGTTGTAGGGTACATGGGAAATGGTGTATCCATCTTATACATCTTACTCTACATGTGAAAACCCACCCTGGAAAGAAGCTGAATGAATGTAAAAATGTGGGTATGATTTTTGGTAAATACACATCCCTTAAGAGACACAAAATACTCACTGAAAGAATGAAGTATGAATGAGAGGAATTTGGGGAAGCTTTCAGGTATTGCTCTTCACTTACTGTACACAAGAGAATTCTTCCTGGAGGTCATATTGAAATAAATGACATAAATACAATTGCCTTTCTGTGTGTTTCCTTCTCAAGGAAAGCAGCTAGCACCTTTATTTTTTGTGGTGGTTTTGTATTACAAAGTTTTAGTTGCTTTTAAAGATACTCTAGGGACGCCTGGGTGGCCCAGTAGGTTAAGCGTCTGCCTTCGGCTCAGGTCATGATCTCAGGGTCTTGGGATTGAGTCCTGCATCGGGCTCCCTGCTCACCGGGGAGTCTGTTTCTCCCTCTCCCTCTGTCTCTTCCCCCTGCTCATGCTCTCTCTCTCAAGTAAATAAATAAAATCTTTAAAAAAAAAAAAAAAAGATACTCTAAGTAAAATTTTTTTCAATATTATACTCATTTCATATGATGGTGTTTTCATTATGGTTCACATCTAAAGACTTCCCCATATATATGTCTTCATTGAATTATATGAGATATTTGGAACTTTATTTGGCAATGTAAGAGCATTTTTAAAAAGATTTTATTTATTTGACAGAGCAGGGGAAGCAGCAGGGAGAGGGAGAAGTAGGCTCCCCGTGGAGCAGGGAGCCCAATGTGGGGATCGGTCCCAGGACCCTGGGATCATGATCTGAGCCAAAGGCAGACACTTAACTGACTGAGCCACCCAGGCGCCCCTCTAAGAGCATTTTTAAAAATATATTTGTTTATTTTGAAAGAGAGCGTGCGCGTGAGCTGGGGGAGGGACAGAGGGAGAGAATCTTTCAAGCAGACTCCCTGCTGAGTGCAGAGCCCCACACGGAGCTCAGTCTCATGACCCATGAGATCATGACCTGAGCTGAAACCGGGAGTTGGACACTCAACTGACTGAGCCACTCATGTGCCCTCGCAATGGAAGAGCATTTTATCATGTTTTTAGGTACTGCTTTCTAGTCTATTTGCAAGTGGGTCATAAAATGGGGCTCTTCATATTATTTGATATAGGACAATTCTTGCTTTCTATGGCAAGTAGTATTTAGTCATCACAATATTCCTTGTCCCTTATAAACAGAATCCAGATTATCTCCAGGCACATAGTTTAAAAAAAAATCATCCCTACTTCTCAGGTTTCCTTGGGTTTATAGGAAGACTATTTCATAATCCTGGCTAATAAGAAGTAGGCAGAAGACATCAGTGTGCATTCTGGGAAAGCTTTTAAAAAGGGGACAGTCTCCAATGGCTTTTTCTCTTCAAGGATTGCTCTTCATTCTTCCTCCTTCCTTCCTGGAAGTCAGGTACATTCCTATAGTTTAGATGATATGTTGTGTACTATGAGGACAAAAGCTACAGACAAATAAGGTATAGCTGAAAAACACAGAGATGTTTTCTGCTTGTAGTATTGCACCAGCCATTGGACTGCTGATGTGTAGACTTCTTGGTACCTGAAAAAAGCTTATCAGGCTGAGCACTTATATTTCAGATTCATAAGTGTATAGATGGCACTTAAAACCATTCAGTTAGATAATTTCAGCTGAGGATTGGCAAGCCCTGGGAGTCAACTTTGGCAGTTGGAGTCATGGGAGGAAGTACTGAATGAATTGAGAAGTAGTGGCCCATGAAATAGCAATAGAATTAAGATTGGTGTCCATGAATCCAAGGCAAGGAGCAGCGACTGATCCACTATACCAAATGCTGATTTGGGTGAGTTGAATGAGGATGGGATTTAACCATAAAAGTCACTGAGGACCTTTTTCAAAAGCTGGCTTTATAGAACAGCATGTGCCAAGGTCTTTTTGCAGTAGATTTCTAAGAAATTAGTATATACATTGTCCATCCTATTCTACCCTATCCATTCTATCCTAAATATAGATACTTCTCTTTGACCTCACAATCTGTACCTTAATATTCTAGCTTTACATTGTGTTATTAGTTTACTATTGCTGCTATAACAAACTACCAAACAATGCCATAAGACAACTAAAATTTTACTACCTTACAGTTTTGTTGGAGTTCAGAACTCTGAAAAGGGTTTCAGTGAACTAAAATCAAGATATTGATAGGACTGTATTCCTCCCTGGAGGCTCTAGGGGTGAATCTGTTTCCTTTTTCCAGCTTCTAGATGCCCTTCTCTCCTTTTTTTTCCTGGATCTTTTTTCCTTCTTGAAGGCCAGCAATGTCAGTCCATCTCATACTACCATCTCTCTGACTCTTCTGCTTTACCTCCTCCTCCTCCTTTTTTTTAAAGATTATTTGAGAGAGAGAGAGCACAGAGGGAGATTGAGAGGGAGAAGCAGACTCCCCGCTGAGCAGAAAGCCCGATGCAGGGCTCCATCCCAGGACCCTGAGATCATGACCTGAGCTGAAGGCAGATGCTTAACTTCTGAGCCACCGAGGCGACCCCCTCCTTCTACTTACTTAAAAAAAAGTAAACTCCCCAATGTGGGGCTCAAACTCAAGGTCCTAAGATCAAGAGTTGCATGCTTTCCTGACTGAGCCAGCCAGGCACCCCACCTCTACTACATTATTTTAATACTTTTCTCTTATTTCCCCCCCATTCTGTTAAAAAAAATAGAGAGCGAGCACGAGTGGGGGAGAGGAAGAAGGAGAGGGAGAGGGACAAGCAGACTCCTTGCTGAGTGCAGAGCCCAACACGGGGCTTGGTCCCAGGACCTGAGATCATGATCTGAGCCGAAGTCAGGTGCTTAATCGAATGAGCCACCCAGGCATCCCTTTTTTTCCCATTCTTAAATTTTATAATTCTAGCATACATATAGAATATAGTGTGAAAATCATAAGTGCTGCTAATAAACTACAAAATAGTGTGTCCATAGGTATCTACCTTCCAGATAAAGAAATGGAAGATTACCTTACCCATGTGAATCTTTTCCATCTTGTATCACCTTCCATCCAAGAGGAAACCATTGTGTTTGGACATTGGCTTAACCATTGTATTAATCATGCTTTTAATTTTGTGTATTATATTGCTTTAACATCTTTGGGGTCTTGCTGCCTGGAGAGACTGCCCCTCCAGGACTAGCTTTTTTTTTTTTTTTTTACCTAAATTGTTTAATAGGTAAGAATTTTACAAACATTACTTATATTAGCAGTAGCAGTGGGGCTGGAGAATATTGTGTCCTCTCCGTGCTGCCTGGTGAGAAACACTAATAATGTGGTGGAACTTCTGACCCTTTCCAAGGCCATGGCTCTTGCAGCCTGCAGATGTCAGCCCTCCCATTTCCCTGTGCTTGGGGACTGGTTTAGTGATCCACTGGTGTCAGGATTTCTTCTGATAGCTTTATGGAATGGATCAATGAGGATAACCTCAAAGAATTTGTATGTGGAATCTTCACCAACCCGGTAAGAATTCAAGACTCTCAGAGCCCCAGTGGCATCCAGCTCGCTCCTCTGCAACTGACTGAAGTTGTTGGGCAACTTTAGCTGGTTAACACCATGATGGACAGGCTTGACATGGGTTGCACCCTTAGGAACTGGGTATTGGCGGCCACTACATCACACACGAATCCAAAATATGACATAAACTTGCTTGGCCTTGTACCCCAGTCTGCATGCTTTATCGGGCTGGGTTGGGTGGAGGGCCCTGTGAAGTGCAGAGAGCCGGTGGTAACTGGTAGCAGTGCACCCTGAGAAAGTGCATTACATTGGACTGCTTCCTCCTCCATAGCTCCTGGATGTACTGGTAAGTGCCCCTTTTGGCTTGCCTTTCAGTGGACGGCTGCCTCCAGACAAAGGACTAGCTAATTCTTTTTTTTTTTTTTTAAGATTTTATTTGTTTATTTGACAGAAAGAGAGCACAAGCAGGGGGAGTGGCAGGCAGAGGGAGAGGGAGAAGCAGGCTCCCCGCCAAGCAGGGAGCCAATGTGGGGCTCGATCCCAGGACTCTGGGATCATGACCTGAGCCGAAGGCAGATGCTTAACTGACTGAGCCACCCAGGCGCCCCTGCACTAGCTAAATAACTAATTTCTTTGGAAGCTCACCTCTCATAGGCAAACCAACCGCTCCAGAGCCCGTACTCCAACCAGCTCCTCTATCTTAACTCTCACAAAACAATCCAGTATTTCTCCTGCCCTGAATCAACCTAGGGCTAGGTAGCAGACAACTGTGATTCAGAGCCCACCGGGATTATTCAAGCTACACGGTATTTACCTTTACCCTGCTCTGCCTTGCCTTTCCTGAAGAAACCCCAACAGAGCTCTGACCTATGCTTTTCCCTCACTCCTGTTTTCTGCCTCCTGACCTGGTGCTTCCCTGTTGATCCTGCATTACCTGGTGTGCCCCCTTCTCTTGGAGCTGTAAGTAATAAACTTTCGGTGGCATTAACCTATCTGTGCTATCATCTGGTCACCTTTATAATTGGTCACCCCAGCGCAAATCAGTTGGCACAGGGTGACTCTGTTTGGTGGGGGGCATGCCTCTGGACTGCTCTTGGCTTACTCAACTGTCCTATACCAAACAGCGAGTTCTGGTGCACTTGCACTTTGACGATTACTGCCTTATACAGTGTCTGCACGTTCTTCTGTGGTTTTCCAATCTAAGTTGTGGTAAGAGATTGACCCCAGATTCTTGCTTTGTATAGTTAACTGTGATTGGGTGTATGAGAGGTCCCCAATCAACATTTTATTAACGAAGTGTCCTACTGGATGAGAAATCATGGAAGCATCTAGGGATAATTGGCGTATACTAAAAGAGGCACAGTGAAGGATTCCTGGAAAGTGGGAAGCACAAAATGGTTATCCTCAAGACTACTGTGAGGGTGCTGAGACTGATCCACTGGGCGGCCAACACCATTAGAGCACCACCAAGGGCCACCATGGAGGGCTCAGGAGACAAGCATTGAGTCCCAGGTGCTGTTCCTTCTTTGTGAGAAATCTACTTTGATGGACAAATAAGTCTGGGGTGAATATATGTGTTCCACTGGGCCATTGAAAGCTGTCATTGAATATTCCTTGGGAATTGTGACCCTTGGGAAACACTCATCCATTTGATTTGAAATTTGGACAGGCCTCTCTCAGTCATCAGTAGTTAGGTGGAGGGGGTCCATCCTATGGATAATCCTGGATTCCAAAA